GAGTGGATGAGAGAAAGAAAGACAGAGAAAAAGAATAGGGAAAAGGACAACGAGGGAAAAGAAATAAAACAAAAAGAAAAGAGAGAAAAAAAAGGGGAGAACGAAAGAGAGAAACTTTTCAAAGATTTTACCAAATAAGATCACTCACTAACAAAGCTCAAGTCCTTTTATTCTCAAGAAACATTCCGTTTTCTCATAACATGAACGAGAAATAAGATTAAATGCTTTTGTTGACCGAACACCATTTCGGGGAACAGACACTGCTATCAGTAACAACACACACACACACACTCAGTACACACACACACACAATACATCCACACACACACACAAAGACAGCCTACACCACCCACCCATACCTACACACTAAGAAAACACACACACACACACACACAAAAGACGGTCTACACACACCCACACAATACCTACACATTACGACAGAACACACAGACCTACACCACACCTACCTATACCCACACACACACACACGTTTCATTCGGAAACGCAAAAAAATGACGGAAAAAAGTGATAGTGGGATAGAGCCTTAAGTCACAAGCACACTCAGCACTGGAATACTCCTCCCTAGCATGGAACGGAACAACTCAAACGCACCTCAATCCAAGGTCTATAGAAGTACTTATATAAACCTTGCCTCAATCTGCTTGACAAAACTGGAGACAGGTCAATCACTCTCATCTCTAGAATCTCTAACGAGGCTGACATGCACGTTGACGATCTTCGACGTCGGAGAGATGTAGCAGGACTTACTCTCCTATACAAGACCTAGCACTTCAACGCCCTTCATCTGGCGCCACTCAACCAACAGCCTCGAGGAGGACCTTTCAAAAGAGCAACGCAGTAGAACCGGCATCCCCACCCCCCAACCCCACCCCACCCCCACACCCCCTGCGAGTACATCACTTTCCCAGAGACTTTATTTTTTTTTTGTAGAAATGTGGGTCTGTGGAATAATATATACAACAACCATGGTATTCCATTTACATATACCATTCAGACTTTCAAATGCTTTGTAAATGGAATCCTATCATAGAAGTTCATACGAAAAGTTTGACACGCTTTTATGTGTTATAGTGACGCTTTTTCACCTATTGAAAAAGGGAATAAAACATAAATTCCCTGATATAAAAAAAAAACGGAGAGAGAGAGAGAGAGAGAGAGAGAGAGAGAGAGAGAGAGAGAGAGAGAGAGAGAGAGAGAGAGAGAGAGAGAGAGAGAGAGAGAGAGAGAAAGAAAGAGAACGAGAAAGAGGAAGAGAACGAGAAAGAGGAAGAGAAAGAGAGAAAGAAAGAAAGAGAAAAAGAAAGAAAAAGAGAAAGAAAGGGGAGTGGGTGAGATAAAGAAAGAGAGAAAGAAAGAGAGAGAGAGAAAGGGGAGTGGTGAGAGAAAGAAAGAGAGAAAGAGAAAGGGAGTGGAAAGGGGAGTGAGTGAGAGAAAGAAAGAAGGAGAGAGAGAAAGGGGAGTGGATGAGAGAAAGAAAGACAGAGAAAAAGAATAGGGAAAAGGACAACGAGGGAAAAGAAAATAAAACAAAAAGAAAAGAGACGAGAAAAAAAGGGGAGAACGAAAGAGAGAAACTTTTCAAAGATTTTACCAAATAAGATCACTCACTAACAAAGCTCAAGTCCTTTTATTCTCAAGAAACATTCCGTTTTCTCATAACATGAACGAGAAATAAGATTAAATGCTTTTGTTGACCGAACACCATTTCGGGGAAACAGACACTGCTATCAGTAACACACAACACACACACACTCAGTACAAACAAACACACACAATACATCCACAACACACACACAAAGACAGCCTACACACCCACCCATACCTACACACTAAGAACACACACACACCCACACACACACGCGCAAAGACGGTCTACACACAACACACACCCACACATACCTACACATTACGACAGAACACACACACACCTACACCACACCTACCTATACCCACACACACACACACACACACCTACACCACACCCACCTACCACACACACACCTACACACCCACACACACACACCACACACCTACACACACACACACACACACACACACCACACCACCTACACCACACACACACCACACACCACACACACACACCTACACACACCTGCACCACACACTACACACACACACCACACCCAACCCACACCCACCTACACACACACACAACCTACACACCTACACCACACCCACCTACACACACACACCCACACCCAACACACCCACCTACACCCACACCACAACCACCACACCCACCTACACACACACCTACCCCCCCCCCCCACCACACACCACAAACCTAACCACACCCACTACACACACACACCACACCCACAACCCACTAACACACACACCACACCACACCACACCCACCTACACACACACACCTACACCACACCACACACCACACACACACACACCTACACCTACCCACCACCACCTACACCTACACACACCCACCTACACACACCACACACACCTACACCCACCTACACCACACACACCACACACACACCACACCTACACCTACACCACACCCACCTACCACACCACACCACACCAACCACACCCAACCTAGCAACACACCACCACACTACACCACCACCCACCTACAGCACACCACACCACACCCACCACACCCACCCTACACACCACACACACACCTACACCGACACCACCTACACACACACACCACACCCAACCACACCCACCCTACACACCCAACCACACCCACCTACACACACACCTACCCCCTCCCCCCCCCCACACACCACACACGCACAAAGAGTAAAAGAAGGACTCTAACAAGACGGTAACTTCATTTTTCTTCCAGACTTCTCGGCTTTTGTCCTGAAGTTGCGGTTGCGAAGACGCGTAATATTTCTGATCTTTATTTACCTTCGACTCACGAGCAATATATATGTAAATTTAATCTGACATTTTTTCTTGTCATTGACGTTTTTAATATTCATCAGGATTATGAAGTCTGAAGTAATAAATTACTTATATACTAATATATACTATATATATATATATATATATATAGTAATATATATATATATATATATATATATATATTATATATTATATATATATATATATAATATGTATATCATAATATATGTATGTGTGTGTGTATGTGTGTGTAGATGCCGTGTGTTCACGTATATACCATATATAAATGCTATTATGTGGTATATCATGTAATACATATAATATCTTAAGGTATATATATAATATAGAATATACTAATAATAATCATAATATACAAATATTATATATAATATATATATAAATATTTATTATATATATTTTACATATCTTATACTATATATATATATATATATTATAATATATATAGTATATATATTATATATATATTATATATATCATATAATGTATAATGTAGTGTATACATGAGCACACACACAAGGCCACGCGTGCGCGTATCGTGTCTGGGTATATTGAATCTCGAAATGTATCATCTCTGTATCCATCATCGGAAATGCACCAAACATGTCTGCTGATCTCATTAAATTACCAATTCATTTGCGCTTGTTATCAATTGCCATCACCTGCTCATCATCAAATCATAAATCATGAGACGCTAATAAATGAAAATAATGTGACATTCTTTCAAGGAGGGAATTATAGAGTGCAACATGATGAAAAAGTATGCAACCACGCACATAATAAAACAAACTACTAACTCTTGATATAATGAATGTTCAGGTTTCCCATAAAGCGAGGGACAGGGAGAGAGGGCGAGAGAGAGAGGTAGGGAGAGGAAAAAGGGGTAAGGGGAATGGAGTGGCAGAAGTGGGAGGTGGGGGAGGTGTGAAAAGAGGAGGGGGAGAGGAAAGAGGAGGGAAAGGAAAGGAAAGAAAAGGGGAGAGGAAGAGAGGGGGAAGACGGAGAGAGGAGAAGTGGAAAAGGCAAAATGAGAGTCAGAGTCAGAGATGCCGAGAGGAGCTATATATATATATATATATATATATATATATATATATATATATTAAAATATTATATATAGTATTATATATATATTATATATAGAGAGAGAGAGAGAGAGAGAGAGAGAGAGAGAGAGAGAGAGAGAGAGAGAGAGAGAGAGAGAGAGAGAGAGAGAGACAGAAGACAGACAGAGAGCGACAGAAAGACAGAGACAGAGAGGGACAGCGAAAAATAAGAGAAGGAGAGAGGGGAAAGGAGGGGATGGAAAGAATCTGTATGAAACAAGTATAAGGAAGGGTCTGAGGATATCACGAGCGACGGTGGGTTCAGCAAAGCAAAAAAAAAAGAGATTTACAAAACATTGCAACTGATATGGGTGAAATATAGGCATGATATTGGCAATATTAAGGAGGACAGGGTGGAAAGAGGTGAGAAGACGAGGAAAGGGGGAGAGTGAGGGCGAAGGTGAAGGAAAAGGGAGGCAAGGGAGGAGAGTAGCAAGGGCGAAAAGAAGAGGGAGAAGTAGGGCGTGGGTAAAGAGGCGAAATAAGGGAGGGGGAGAGGATAGGGTGACTTCGCGGAAACGGAAGATTGAGGAGACGAGGAAAGGGTGAAGCTAAGGTCACACAAGCCTTCTTCTGTCTCTCCCGAAGTCAGGTCAGCTGACCATTCGAAAGCTGTAGGTGGCCTGACTTCGGTGAAGCTGCCTAGGTGATCCCAGGACAGAAAAGATTAGCAAGACCCTAGCTTAAGGGTCAAGGTGAGGAGACGAGGGAGGGTCACGAGGGTCCGAGGGCAAATGAGGAGACGAGGGAGGGGTCACGAGGGGTCGAGGTCAAAGGTGACGAGACGAGGGAGGGGTCACGAGGTCGAGGTAAGGTCGAGGGAGAGGTGAGGAAGTCACGACCGAGGAGGGGTCACCAGGAGGGGTCCGAGGGCAAATATGAGGAGCACCGACGGAAGGCCGGTCACCAGGAGGGGTCGAGCGGCCAAAAGGTGAGGAGACGCCGTCAAGGGACATGTGTTACTTCACCAGGAGAGGTCGAGGTGCAAGTGAGAAGACAGGAGCGGTAGCGGGTTCACCAAGTGGTCCCCGGCTTCGAGGCTATGAGCGGAACAGAAGTCACCAGAGGGGTCGACCGGGCACAATATAGAGCTAACGAGGCAGTTCAACCAGGAGGGGGCTCCCCAAGCGCCCATAAATGGTGACGAGCACGAGGGAGGAATCCACCCAGGAGGGCCTCCCTACGGCCAAATTGGAGGAGAAACGAGGAAGGGCTACCAGTCGGGTCCGAGGGCCGAAAAGAC